TTCCCCCTCCTCTTCGTCTATCCCCTTCCTCTTCGTCTATCCCCTTCCTCTTCGTCTGTGTATGGTATGGGCTGGCACAGTCTTCCTGTGTGAAGCGCCAGGCCCATTTCACACTATGTAACGATGATGATGATGTATGTTCAGGGCTGCATTGCAACATTGATTGTTCGGATCACTGGTATCTAAGTCTTCCGTTGTGCTATCTTATACTTTGTATTGAAAGGTCGGTTCTTGTTCTGGTCTGCACTTTACAGTATGCAACAGTTTGGTATCGGAGCGGACCTCTCATTCAGAGGACCCGCTCAATAGTAACGCAAGTAGGACTTAGTCAGCTTGCGATCTATTGATCACTCATTAGTAACGCAAGTAGGACTTAGTCAAATCTCTGGAAAAAAAATTCTCACAACAACTATCTGAAAATTTCTGATATTCGCATTTTCGTTCTATCTGAAAATTTCTGATATTAGCAGTTCGTTTTTACGTGACAAATATCTGAAAATTTCTGATAAATCGCATTTCGTTTTGTCTGAAAATTCCCGATAGTCGCATTTTCGTTTCTCTGATATTTCGCATACATAACTGAAATTTCTGAAGTTAGTATTTTCGTTCTCTAGGCATATTGGGATAACGATAGAAGTGGTCATATTCTCGGAAACTGAAATTATTCTTTTCTGAAAATCGCATTTCATTTCTATCTCGCAATTTTTTTTTGAAAACCGAATCTTGCGAAGCCTACCAATATTGCGTWAGGCATATTCGGAGGTTGCTATATTCTCAGAAAATGGATTTCGTTCTTTTCTGAAAATCGCATCTTTACTCCATTTCGCAAAAAAAAAAATTCAAGATCGCAGTTTGTAAAAGCCCCAACTTTGCGAAACCTAGCCTAGATCTCGTTCATAATACTCTTCTGACATATCCTACTCATCATAAATCGACAGACATATACAAAAAAAAAAAGAAAAAAAAAAGGAAGTAGTCCATGGTTACCGCCCGGACCTCCAGACCGGTTTCCGGACACCCCCAAACATTTTGTAGGGGTCCGGTGTCCGGTACTGGACGTCCGGAACCGCCCCCCCCAGCAAAAAATCAAAAAAAAAAAGGGGCCGCCAAGGACATTTTTCGGGTCCTCGGCCGCCCCGGAAAAATAGTGGGCCGATTTTTGTGAGTGTTCTCGGCCTACCGGACATTCGTTGAAGGCCGGACCCACCACAGTCTGCAGCAGACTCAGTAGGGGTGGCGGGAGGCAGGGCCAGCACTTTGAAACTGGCCGTTTCCGAATCTCGCGGGCTGCGCTTTGCGGAAGCTGCCATCTGCTACCCGTCACGTCCCCACTGCAGCCCGGCAGCGATCGACGAGGAAGCCGCCATCGCCCACGAAACAGCCAGCCGCCGCCAACGTCCAAGAAGCAGCCAGCCGCCAGCAACTTCCAGCCCTCGCCGTCGGACCAGCGAGCCGCGACAACGTCCAAGGAGCAGGTCAGTCTCTCTCTCTCTCTCTCTCTCTCTCTCTCTCTCTCTCTCTCTCTCT